CCGGGAAAACCCCACTGACTTGAAAGAACTGGGGCCCTTGGGCTAGATTTAAAACTGATATAATCTCATTGAAATGTAGCCTCTTAATGTGCTACTCACACAACCCAGTAATTCCCACCTTCTTCAGTTATCTTTTCTAAATCCTAAACTATGCAGAAACCTTTTTAGTGGGATAACATCTATTCCAATAGAATTATCATGATGGTTTGTTTAAAAGCTGTCAGACATGCCAAGGCCAGAATGGTTCTGTCATCAAAGAATAGTAAGATGTCACAGACTACAATAATTGTTATATTGCTGCTATATTTAACAGCCTTGATTATGAGACACTAGAAATAAAAAAACCCCAATTAATTTGGGTAACTGTAAAAAAATACTCAAGTAATTGCTCATAGTACTGTATTGCTAATCTACATAGAAATGAGTAACTATTGGATTGAGCCATCTGGAAAAGTTACTAGTTCTAATAAGTTGAGCAGCTCTTACTTCCAAGTGCAAACAATATAAGAACTACAAATCTTGCAAAGAAGATCTATTTCTCCCCTTCTTACTTTGTAGGTGCAAGGATGGTCTGATTTTAATAAAAACAGCAGTGTTAAAAGATCGACTTCCCACAGAAAATATGTTCTCCAAACTGCTATTGGCCTTACAGCTGGGGGGAAAAATAAGGTATGTTGGCTTTTCTATTGTTGAATGGCTGAGAGCAGCTTTAGGCAATTGTGATTCAGAGCTGGAAAATAGTAGATGGGACAATATTAAATACATACTCTTCCAGCATTACAGTTTCACTGCCAAGAAGATCCCTGCCATGCACAGTCCCTTTAAAGTGAAAAACAAAACAAAACCAACAGTGAGCAGTGGCAGGACATGATGACCAAATTGAATTATGTCTGTTGCAATCCTTAGTGTGGCTTTTGAAAACAATCATGTGCTTTTAGCAAAGTATGAGATGCTGGAGAAAGAGATGAGAAGTTACTATTACTTTTATTCCTGCACCACATTCTGCAACAAGGCACACCAAGTATCTCTCCAATGAGAACATGTCCAATGCTTCAAGTGATCGTTTACTATTTGAGGATGACTCCTCCACCACAAATAATTGATTGTACTCTTTTCTGTATTACACAGATGTGACATCAAGCCTTTTCCATTAACACCACTTAGGTTCATGTCTTTGCCACACACATCTGAGAAATGCACTGGAAGTACTTGGACATGAGGAAGATGACACTGTTGGGAGAAAACTGCTCTAAACTTATTAAGGATCCCAGGATTTATAGTTTCTGAGGCCAACTTGCATGATCCCTGCTGTGGCCTTTATGCCTTTTTCTTTGGGTAGTAAGGGTTGCAACATTTCAAAGTGATATTAAGTTTCCATAAGGATTTTTGCTTCTATGCCATATTAGAAGCAAAGATGTACAAGTACTGTATGTAGTTGTCGTAGGTTTTTCGGGGTGTTTGGCCGTGTTCTGGAGAAAAACCTCCAGAACACAGCTAAACAGACCGCAAAACCTACAACAACCATTGGCTCCCGGCTGTGAAAGCCTTCAAGAATACATTAAACATGCATTTGTTTTATTTTTAAAAACTGTTTTACTTAACTACAGATTGCTAAACATTTAAATCAACTGGTTGTTGTGGGTTTTTCGGGCTTCTTGGCCGTGTTCTGAAAGTGGTTCTTCCTGTTTCGCCAGTCTCTGTGGCCGGCATCTTCAGAGGACAGCAAACTGTCAGTTTGCTGTCCTCTGAAGATGCCGGCCACAGAGACTGGCGAAACGTTAGGAAGAACCACTTTCAGAACACGGCCAAGAAGCCCGAAAAACCCACAACAACCATTAGATCCCGGCCGTGAAAGTCTTCGCAAATACATTTAAATCAACTAATTATACTTTAGTCAATGTTTTTGTAAAACTTCATTTGAACTGGCTTTTAAACGAGCCATCATTCCAGTGGCTTTAAGTAATATATTTTGACTTAAATATTTCAATTAATGTTAATATTACATAGTTGAAACTTTGCAAGCCAAAAGTTTACTTTGCTGATTTAAAATGCCAGAAGTAAACTACATTTGTCTTTACTTTAGCACCAATACAATGTTGGAGGTGTAGATTTCATTCTACGTCATCTTGTTTATTAGATGTCTATTAGATTCTCTCTGCCTTGGCTACCTCTCAGGGACTGCTAAGACCAAACAGCAATTACTTGCTTTTCCTTTCATAGTATTTCACTTTCTCTGAGCATTCACAAAATGGTGGTGACTATGGCATTCCTCAGGGATTTCATTTTCTAGAACACACTTCCTTGTTTTCTTAAGAAATACAGTGTTCTCGCCACTTCTCCCATCTTCAAATATGCAAGATTGACAGGGGCATATGTTTTCCTGGAGGGGTGCTCACTGTGGAAACAGCTACAAGCATTTGGTGTTCCAACATGTAAGCACATCTCTGGCTTCTCTATGGATGCAACGTACAGTACTGTACTGTAATAGTCATACTATGTACTGGAGCACTTTTCAACAACAGATACAATGTACTAAGGTAAAAGCAACACATTTATAGCCTTTTTTAACACAGATTATTTCCTCCCTATGAGATAAATCTATCACATTTCTGTACAAAACTCATCTTCTTCAGATGTCTTGAAGAACTGCTAGAACCATTAGAGAAAGTGAACTAAGGAGGGTATGAAGAAGCAGAGTACACTCCCTACCAAGCACCTCAATGTTACTGCATACATACCATTCTCCAGCCACTGGAACTGCCCTGGAAGATAAGGCAAGTATTGTACATATATTTTAACAGGAGTGGAAGAAATGAAAGCATCCTTTGCAGCACAGCTGAGGAGTTGAAAGTTCCTGTATCTTCTAGGATGGTATCACTATTCAGTCCATGGAACATGTATTGTAGGCAGATATGTGGCAACGGACTGTCTGCATCAGGATGGATGTACAGTAGTTCTCCAGATACTGCTGGACTGCAACTATCAGTCCTTGCTGAAAATTGCCATTCAACACTTGGGACAACCATATTTCATGCACCCCCATGTCTATATGGAACTGGCATGCTGTAATTTGACATCACTACTGAGCCAAAACCAAGTTATTAATTACAATTACTAGTTAATGTTGTATCTCTCTCTCTCTTAGAACAATGGTTCTCAAAGTCAGGACCTCCAATGTTTCTGCAAGACCCAGAATTGTTAACCAGCATATCAAAACGTCAAGGTTTCAGAGAATTGTAGTCCATGTCACCTTGGGGGCCGGGTTTGAGAACTATTGGACTAGAAAGATGCCTAGTATCCTGCTTGTTCAGTTTATATGGACCTTTATGGCTCACTTTCCTCCAAAGTTAGCAGAAGATACTAGACACTCTATCAAATTTACCAGGAAAACCAGTACCAGACTGAGATTTTAAAAACAAACAAACTGTCCAATAACTTGTGTATTCCACTTAAGCAACATAATTTAAAAAATTCCAACATCTGCAACAGTGAAATAATGTAATGTAGATCTTTTAGCAAGAACATTCCATACTTCCACATCTTCATTAAAACTAGTTTTAACTTTGGAAGCCTAAGTATGAGGTGGAAGGACCCTCACCAAATATTAAACCACTGGGTTAGAAAGTATTTGATAATGTCAACACACACAAGACAGGGACAGACACTGGCATTGTTCCTGCTTTGTCATTCAGCAGAATCTGATATACAAACTGATGCATCAGTTGTCTGCTCTGAAAATCTGTACAAATCATGTTGACTCTGTATCATGTTTTGAATTCGGAAATATTTAGCAAGAACAGATGTAAAGAGGGGCATTGTCCAAACAACGGAGAAAAGTGGGGGGAGGAGATGGATCCACTAAGAATACAACATGTATCTCCTTCCCACCAAGACTCATTTTGACTTCAAAGCGTTCAATTCACATTGCAGAGACACATTTCTTTTAAAACAGTTGGCCTTTTTTTGTAAACAAAAGAAATGCATGTCCACAAACTGATCAAAGACAGAATCTACTCTTCATAGCTCTGTTGATTATGTAGCTGATTGAAAACAGTTGTTTTAAAAAGCAATTTATAAAATAAACTGTATAATCCCTGAAATACTTTTGTACAATCCACATATCAAGACAGTTGAGAACTCATGCTTGCATTTCATCTGCACTTTGAGCCATATCACACGGCTCTGGATGGCTGTGGATCAAGCCAAGGCTTAAAAAACAGTTGCAACTACTTCCAGGCATCCAGTGGGTTTTTGGGTTCCCATCTAACAGCTCTTTTCTGTCTACCATGTACGCAGGAACTTGATAGAATTACATTTGAGGAATTGATAAGCCCAGGATCTGATTACTAGTCTAATCAACCATCAATTCAGAATAAAGCTACACATGGCATTTCTTTTCTAAAAAGCATCACTTTGAATGGAGGATCTGATCAGAGTCAGAAGCATAGTACCCCATCCTGACATCATCTCAATCAACCACAGACCAGAATGTGATACATTAGCATTTCAATGTAAATGTATAAATTTTTACTCCTCCTGATCAAAATATGGGGGTGGGGTGGCAATTCTAACTTGAAATGCATCATAAGAGATCAATATGCCTTTCCATAGTCTCACTCTGATTACCTCTTTTCCTCAATGGTGAAATTATTAGGATTTTTTAATGTGGAACCTATAATGATATAGTGATTTCCTATATCAAGTCTAACTGTGACCTCAGATTTAGCTATGTAAATAATTGTAGTGACATGTGTAATCTATTATGCAGTCAAATTAGATGTTTATAACAAGCCCCAGATTAGTATAGGTATTTATTTGTTTATTTGATTTGTATCCCGCCCATCTGGTCTGGTCGACCACTCGTAAGTGTGGCTGCACAGAAACTTTCATACCTCCAAAAGCATTGCTCTAACTGGCAATAGAACCGTTGCAGCTAGGACCTCATTGATCACTCATTTGGTCTTAAAACTAAATTAGACATTACTTCAAACAACATTTGCTTTAATACAAGAGCTATTGAATTTATTATTAGGGGAAGGGTTAACTGCAAGATTACAGTACTAGTATTTATACAAATGCTATTTGGGTTCATGCTAGATAGCCTGCAGGAACCAAAAGGCAAAATCAACAACCTTGGCAAATCTTCAATTATCAAGACATTTACCATTAAAAAAGAAAGGGGGGGGGGAAGATCCATCTCAATATAGTGGAAGTCACAGTGAGACAGCAGCAATCTTAGTAAATGTTCTTCAGACCAAGACAGATTTAGGCCATTAAAACACCCTCCTAGGATTTCTGAATTTACTACTCAATTGAAGGCCATCCAGCATCCAGTTATTATGGCCTATATATTTTGGGACTGCCTTGTTAACCTTACATGTATCTCTTTTAGGTGACAACTTAAAGCAACCTGCTATTCTCTTAACTACCTTCAGCAGCAGAAAGCCATTTGCTATAATTCTCATAATTGGTTCATTTTCTTACACTCATGTTTAATAGTTCCAGATTTGTTTTCTGTGGAGGCACTGACAGGTCAGTTACGTTAATTTCCAAAAATGCTGGCCTGGAAACAATGTAATACATTGAACAGTTAAGTGAACATATTCATTTAAAATACAGTCACAGCAATGTAATTCCATTTCCAGACAATGCTATCTAAGATTTATTAAAACCTAGCATAGCTTGAATTCGGCTGTAGGTTAAGAGTTAACTTCTGGAATATACACTACAATAGAAGCCACAATAGACTGTCTTGTCAGAAGTAGTACAAAACACATCAGTATAATGAAATAAAAGGACAAATCTACTTGTCTAAAAGACAATTCACTGTACACATTTTATTTACAGTTTTGTACACTGTCTTAATATGAATGGGACTGCTTTTCTCTTTGAGCCGCTCTTAAACCAAAGCAAACATAACCTAAGGAATACAAAGTGTTAAAATACAGCATAAGATACAAAAAACAGGAATACTATTTCTAGTAAGGAATGTAATTATGGTGTTACATTTTTTAAAATCCACAATTATGTTCAGGAAATCACACAAACATATCACTGATTTGACTTGAAATGCATGAAACTTGTAGCAAAGCTTTGATGTTACAAAATAATTACCAAAGAATGCACAAAATTAATGTTTATTAAACCTTTTGTCATATTCCCAGATCCTTCACCAATGTTACAATGAGCAAGAAATGAAATCAGAATATCACTAATGTTACCAGAAAGGGAAACAAATAAATTAAATCTAGCAGCCATCAGTATCAGTTACAGCAATGATAATGCTGTATAAAGATTTGCTAGAAAATGTATGCATCATATTCTTCTTCCAAACCAGCAAAACATGTTATTGCATACAATGCAAAGGTGAAAAAAGTAGTAGTTTATTCCCCTGCAGAAATGGCACTGTTTCTGGGCATTCTTTTAATATACTAAGTACTTTCCTAAGAAGCATCACAGAATGAACTGAAGGACCATTTATGAATTCAGGGAGCAAAAGCTGTACTGAAATTCTTTGATTGAGTAAAGGTTACCTCAGCCAAAAATGGGGAGAAAAAGAAAACACAGAAGTACAAGACAAAAGCAAATGAGACTCACAAATTTTGCAACATTTAGATGGAAATCAGATTTAAATGCAGTCCACTCTGCTTTTATAGAGGCTTTGGTTCAGCTCCCAAATCTCGATTGCTTGACGCAGTCTCCTATGAAACACTCTGAATGTGTCTTCTTAAACAACAAATCTATTTTTAGTGGTGGAGCCGCTCTTAGTAGCTGTGTCAGCATGGGACTGATAACCAATCGCTATCTTTGGAGGAAGTCCTAACCTTTCCTTGTATACTCTCCTGCAAGGGGAAACACACACATAAAACATTAGTTTAAACAGCACTCTCTTGGAAGAGAACAGAAAAACACTACTTTTATGATACTGTTTTTGAAGTTTTTATACAACGTTTTATGCACAATGTCCAATCTTCTACTCTCCATTGTGGCAAACAATGTTACCACTGTTGACTATCTGTTTAGCTCTTAGTGAGCTCTCCTTTCTCTCTGCTCCAATATACAGCCGGTAAAAGCAGATTTCTGGACTGTGGGATCTGCTTTTTCTTTTTTATAAACCTCAAGACTTACTAACTAAAGCCTGACACAAAAACACTCTCCAGAATACTGTTGGTGTACATCAGTGATTTCCAACTTTGGGTAACCCAGGTGTTCTTTGACTGCAACTCCCAGAACAGGATTTACAGTGTACGAGTGAGTTCTGACATTTGTTTAGAGCAGTGGTTTTTAACCTTGGGTTACTCGGGTGTTTTTGAACTGCAACTTCCAGAAACCCCAGCCAGCACAGCTGGTGGTGAAGGCTTCTGGGAATTGCAGTCCAAAAACACCTGAGTAACCCAAGATTGGGGACCACTGGTTTACAGTACTAGACCTGAATTGCGCTCATAGGATTTCCACACAAAAAAACACTTATGTGAAGTTCTCTTCAACGGGAAAATATAGGGCCCCATGGCACAGTAGTTAAACTGCAGTAATGTAAGTCAAGCTTCTGCTCATAACCTGAATCTGATCCTGACAGATTCAGGTAGCTGGTTCAAGGTTGATTCAGCCTTCCAAGTTTGGTATAATGAGTACTTAGCTCATTTGGGGGCAAGGTGTTATTTGCATAACTATGTTATAAACTGCCCAAAGAGTGCTTTAGCACTATGTGATGGTATAGAAGTCAATACATACTGTGTTTCCCTGAAAATAAGAGAGGATCTTATATTGATTTTTGCTCCAAAAAAACACATTAGGGCTCATTTTCAGGAGATGTTTAATTTTTTTTCATGTACAGCAATCTACATTTATTCAAATACAGTCATATCATCATCTTCTGGTTGCTGCCCAATGGTGGACGGCAGGGTTTCACTTAACTGGGGTTTATTTTTGGGGTAGGGTTTATATTACGAATATCCAGAAAAATCATACTAGGACTTATTTTTGTATTATTTCTTATTTTAGGGGAACCAGGGCAGTATAAGCATATACAGTGGGGTCTCTACTTAAGAACTTAATCCGTATTGGAAGGTGGTTCTCAAGTGGAAAAGTTCTTAAGTAGAATCTGCATTTCCCATAGGAATGCATTGAAAACCATTTAATCTGTATCTGCTCTTTTCCGTCCATAGAAACTAATGGGAAGCTGCTATTCCGCCTTCTACCACTAGAGGGGGATATTTTTCTTTTTTTTCCCCTTAGGTCAGGGAACAGTGATAAAAGCACTTCTGACGAAGCTAATTTTGAAGCAATGGACTGAAAACCAATTAATCTGTTCTGGCTGTTTTATTGCTATGTAGAGGTGCGTTCGTACATTGAAGCATTAGTTCCCATAGGAACTAATGCAAACCTGGTTAATACGTACTCTACCACTAGGGGGAGAACTTTTTTTTAACCTAAGATGACCTAAGGTTAAAAAAAGAGCAGGAAAGTTTTTTTTTCCTGTTCTTATCTTGGATTTTTGTTCTCAAGTAGAAGCAAAATTTAGCAAATGGAGCTGTTCTTAAGTGGAATTGTTCTTAAGTAGGGACGTTCTTAAGTAGAGACCCCACTGATGGGTGCAGTAGGGACTCATTTGGTCATTGTTAAAGAACTGGGAGTCAGAAGTCCTTGATAATCTACTCTAAATCATCCAGAGATCTACCAACAGTTCAAGATTTATCTTCCTCAGCAGTAGTGTCAGCATCCAAGGGGGTGGGCAGAGGCTTAGAACATTTTTAAAAAAAGCAGGAAAGGACACATGCAACACATTCCTGTTGAATAGGCATGCAGAAGGTGAAGTTTTGGCAGGAAACATTTTGCATATAAATTTGAGAAAAATTTCCTCTTGTGTACAACTATTAATGATGTATGAGCCCTCTGCTGAAGCAGGCCTGCTTGTTGAATGGCCAGTTGAAGCAAGGCTTGCATATGAACTATAGTTTCACATTGGCTTGTTTCAAACATATAGTTCAGATTAAGAAAGAATGCTATGAAACAGTAAGCTGTGGTTAATTTTAAAAGTGTTAATCAGAAAATTTATCTTCTGCTTCTTGGAACTATATTAGCAAGATGGATACAGAAGTCCAAGACTTGTGGCAGCTTATTCCTATCATCATAAAAAGTACTTTATTATGTCCAGAATGCTTTTGTATAGCGTACATGTAGGATGAAAGTATCTCAATTATGTTGCAACACTTACCCTATATGTGTAACAGCGTCCCTGTTTTCACATTCAGTAGTCCATATTGCTATTTTATCACCTTTAGCTCTAACATTAACAACAGCTCCACATACATCATCACTGTAGTCATCAAAGGATTCTCCTATAAGGCACAGCAGCTACAAAAATAAGAATAGCATTAGAAAAGAAATCTACACAAAGAAATTCAATTAAGCATACATACATTACATAAGATTGAGAATTCCTATAAACTGCAGACAGCCATCAGACTTCAGTTTTCACCCACTTATGAAAGGTGGCCAGTGACAAATACATAGTAGCTTCCTGGGAAAGAACATTTCAGACACACCTCAAAAGACACTGTCCCTGGAAGAGGACATATTAATTCCCTAAAAAAGAAAAGCATAGTGCAGGAGTTCACTGTGACTTAATCTTCTAAGGAGGCCATTCATGAGACACGTGGGATCCAGGGAGCACAAAGATTTAAAGATCAAAATTACCATCTTGAATGAAGTCTCAAAATAAACCACAAATACATATGTTTATATCAGGTATAACATAGTCACACAAATCTGTATTAATCAACTGTTAGGAAGCATAATGCTGTGCTAGCTGCCGTTTCCATACTATCTTCCCTGACTGCCCATGTACACTATCTGGGGTGTTTGCATGGTGAGAGGCACCACATAATCCGAGGCTCTATGTGACTAAGCATTTCTGTTAAGATACCAAAAAAGGATATGTTAACAGAAATCCAGTTAACAGTGCCATGGTGGAGCAGTGCTGTGTTCCTTCACCACTCAGTTTGCTGATAATATATGAACTAGGGTAATATAACCCACAGAAAATTAACCTGGTTGATCTTCATATTATTTGAAATGCCTTTAATTTTACCCCTATCAATGAGTGATAATAAAGCAAGCTTTGACTGATCCAATTCTCACTACATAAAATAAACACTTAAAGTCTGTGTTACAGGGCAAATACAGTGGTGCCTCGCTTAACGAGTGCACCGTATAGCAATGTTTCCGTATAGCGATCCCTTTTTCGGGATCGCTATACGGAAACATACCCGATCTTCGCAATGGGGAAAACCCGCATTGCGAAGATCGGGTATTGCGGCGGCCATTTTGGAGCGCCGAACAGCTGTTCGGCG